TGTGATCGGTACATGATCCAGCGGCGAAAAGTAGTTAACCTGGTCACAGTCTTCTGTTTTCGCGGGAAGGGGGAGCCTTGAAAGGGCGTCGGCGTGACTAATGCTGGTACCCTTCGCAAAAACGATCACAAAGTCGTACTCAGCTAACAGAAGTCTCCACCTCTGAATACGTGCAGTTGCCATACCGATTGACTTCTGCCCTTGCTTCAAAAGTGTGGCGAGAGGGTAGTGGTCAGTGACCAATGTGAATCTTCTACCGAAAAGGTACTTGCGAAACTTCTTGACAGCGAATACGATGGCAAGCGCTTCCTTTTCTACTTGCGAGTAGTTTTGTTCGGCCGTCGTCAATGTCCTTGAAGCGTACTCAACCGGTCTGTAAACTCCCTTGCTCACTTCATGAGCCAAGACTGCCCCTACACCATAATTAGAAGCATCGCAGGTCAACCTAACAGGCTTACTTGGACAGTACAAGGTCAAGGCATCAGCACTACATAGAAGCTCTTTAGCTTTCCTCACACACTCATCACATCCCTTTGACCACAACCATTCAGTCCCTTTTTCTAGCAAGTCATACAGAGGCCGCAGCAATGCTGCCAAGTCTGGCAGAAACTTGGCGTAGAAGTTGAACATTCCTAGAAAACTGCGGAGCTCATGTACATTTCTAGGAGGCAGAGCGCTTTTGACCGCTTCCACCTTGTCGGGGCAAGGCCGGAGCCCGTGTTTGTCAAGCATATACCCAAGGTACTTCACTTCGCCCACAAAAAACTTGCTCTTTTCTAGGTTCAAGCTAACACAATGCTTGGCAAGTCGTTCTAGCACGCGTTTCACATTGTCGAAACATTCATCATGGTTCCTGCGTCCAATCAACATATCGTCAATGTAACATGCAACTTTCGGCAACCCAAGCAAAATCTTATCCATGGTAGCCTGAAAAATAGCTGGAGCGCTCGACACGCCGTACGGCAACCGCAAAAACTCGAAAAGACCGAGATGAGTGTTTACTGTCAGCGCTTTGCTTGCGTTGCTATCAAGTTTCAGTTGCAAATACGCAGCGCGCAGGTCAAGAACCGTGAACACGCGGCATTCCGTGAACGTTGCGAACAACTCGTCCACCATTGGCAAGGGGTAGTGTTCCGTGCGCAAGTTCGGATTTACTGAGACATTGTAATCGCCACAGCTACGAATCTTTCCGCCGGGCTTCGGAACAATGACTAGCGGAGTTGCCCAGTCACTGGTCTTCACAGGAGATAAGATACCATCGTCAATCATTCTCCTCAACTCGCAATCAACAGCGTCCCTAAATGCAAAGGGAACGGTACGATGCTTGCAGAACTCTGGCTGAGCATTATCCTTGAAAACAAGGCTTGCCGTGAATCCTGTTATTGCTCTGGATTCTTTCTTAAACACCGACGGAAACAACACTTTCAATGTTTCAAGAGATTTCTCTTCTGCTGTAACTGCGAAAACTGACCTCCAGTCCAGCTTTACTTGCTGCAGCCAGTTTCTACCAAGCAGGGTTGGTAGCCGCACATTGCTGTTTCTCACCACCACTAAAGGCAGCACATGTTTCCCATGACCGCTAGCTACCTCGACGTCGGATACACCGACAACGTAAACGTTTTCCCCGGTGTACGTACGCAAGCTAAGCTCACACCGTTTTAGCCCTCCTCGAGGTAGAATCTTTCGATACGCCTCTTCTGGGATAAGGGTAACCGCAGAGCCCGTGTCAACCTCCAACTCTACCTCGTGACCTGCTATTTCCAACGTAGTCGTAACCGGTGGCACCCCCGCGACTACGTTACAACGCACAACGCACACGTCTCCGGGACCCACATTAGGCCGGCTGTTTGGCTTACCCCTGGTCTGTTCTCCTCTGCACATTCTTTTGATGTGTCCTTCTTTTCCGCACTTGAAGCACTTCGCTTTACAAGGTTCATGCGCAGAAGAACCACATCGAGAGCAGACAGTTCCTGGCTGTCACTGCTGTTCCTGGTCTTGCCTGTCCCACAACCGATGCACATCGGTGGTATCCGGACCGCTCTGTGTCTGCAGCTCTTTACTCTGCTCTGTAGCCAGTTCCCTTGCCAGTGCCACCTTGTAGACGTCCCCGAATTTCGAACTGCCATCCATCTCGAGAAGCGGTCGCTGAATCTCGGCATCGAGGCAACCAGCGACGAACCGGTCTCCAAGAGCAGTGTCGAGGAATTTACCAAAGTCACAAGTCATGGCCAGCTTCTTGAGGGAAATCACAAAGTCTGCCAGACTTTCGCCGTCCTCCTGGTACCTCCGGTGGAATTTCGTCCGCTCCGCTATGGTAGACTTGGCCGGCGAGAAGTGGTTCTTGAGTACAGATGTCAATTCTGACAAGCTCTTGGAAATCGGAAGCGCGGGCACCAGCAATTCTTTAAGAGTGCGATATGCATTTGTCCCGAGGAAGTTCAAAAACGTTGCCGCCGCATCCTCTGGTTTCACAGCATTCACTTGCACAAAAATCTGGAAGCGTTCTAGGTAGTCGTCGAACGCTTCCTCGTCCGGGCGGAACTCGTGGAACTTCGGCATGCTGTTTGTTCATCCCATCCTCGTCTCCAGTTGTTATAACTTCGTCTCGGTGGCCGTCGACCGAGATCCAGACAACAGACACCCGGCTTCGATCGCACCCGCGTTCCAACTGTCACGGGGCGTTTATTTGTAAGGCAAAGAAGAAAAAGACAAAACACGCGACGCCCTCCTAGCGGAGGTAAATCGTTCAGTCAATACACTGTACGAGGTTTTTCTTTTTCGTTTTTAGATCGTTTACTGTTACACGACGTAAAACATTTTACGAATAATGGAGTATATTAATGTTCATTTATGTACGATAGAAACGTCTTTGCGAGCGAATATATCAGGCGTTTTTCAACGTACACTGTGTATAATATTGTTTTCCTCTTTGACTAGGCACTAAGTCTAGTGCCTAGTCAAAGACTAGTCAAACTAGTGCCTAGTTTGACTAGGCACTAAGTCACTAAGACTAGGCATTATGACCGGGTGCGTACTATAGCCCGGACACTACGGTAAAAAAAAAAAAAAAGCCACGCTGCGGGCAGTTTTTTTTGTTTTTTTTCAATTTCGCAATAATATTTCTTCTCATAAACGTGACGCTAAGACTGGGTTTAATGACAGACAACGTAGTACAGAATTCGACACTGTCAGCGCAATTAAACAAATGCCAAATTTTTTCGTTTTTTAATTAATTTTTTCAGAATTAAAAGGTTTTTAAAATAAGTCTACAGGTAGAAACTGATGGAAAGGAGGAGAATGCCGAGCGCTGATTGGAGTAATTAGTGGGTAAAGGCAAAGCTAGCTGCCTTTGTCTCTACTCATTGTTCAGGACAAGTTCGAACGCGAACGCCCAACACCCAATGACTGCGTTTGGCGTTTCAGCGCGTTCGAAGAGTGAGCAGAGACAAAGAGCTAGCTTTGCCTCTACCCACTAATCACTCCAATCAGCGCTCGACATTCTCCTCCGCTCCCTCAGTTTTTACCCGTATAGTCTCCAACAGCTTAAAAAACATAAGTCGTGGCGATCCTCGAGCAACGTATTATTCATCCGCTGCCAATGAGGTCTTTGAATTAGCCGGTAAGAACGCCGAAACACCTATCACAAAGCAAGAAACGTGAACATAATCAACTACTCTCCGCGTTCGTTAAGCTGTCGGTGCAGTGAACTGGCCGGGCTGTCGGGCCCAAAGCGAAGCGGTAAAAGAGGGTGCCCGCCAATAGCCTTTCCAAGAAAAATGCTAAAAAGCGCCGATGTTGTGTACGCGCTAGCAGTCTAAATGCCACACGTGGCATTTATTGTGCCGTGCATATCTACGCCAAATAGCTTTATGCGAGAAACCCCCGTCTCAAAACCCGCGAAAATCCAACGTGAAATTATTATTATTTTTTTTTTTGGGTGAACATTTTGTAAAGAGGTTTGTAAAGTGAATTTTAAGATTGTCTTTTAATGATGTTCATTCAATAGAAGAAAAAAAGCCACGCATAATTTTAGGTTTTTGATGGTGAAGGGTGCGCATAGATATAGTTTAGGCAGTTTGGGACATAAAAAGGTGATCACGATTGAATCTCTCTAGTGCCTTTTGAAAACGAAGCAGTCAAGCTCTGTTGCATCTTTATAGCGTGATTTATATTCATATATACATTGTTTTCTGTCGAAAAGCTTAGCAGATACTTTCTAATACAAACCAGATGAAGGCTGTTAAAAAAAAAAAGAGAGAAAAGCTAATTTTCCATAAGAAACAAGGCATATGTATTATATTAATCGACTTCGGAGCCCCTCATTGAAAATGCATTGATTCCAGTAGCAGAATCTTAGCGTAAGCACACCAAACACTAAACTTGAAAATTAGCCCGACGCACATAGATCCCTTTCATTTGGACCCACACCTCCTATCCAAACATTGCAGCGGGCATTCTATTTTCTCCGAAGACTCCGCAAACTAATGGGCCCCCGCTCAAACGCCGCCTAATCCAACTAAGCCCAGCAGGGACACGACAAGCCGGACCCTCGGATCTGCGAGCTTCCGCGTTCGACCGGGCTCCAGTGGCGCCTTTAACATTCGCGAGTTAGACCGACCGTGTTTGCACATACCGCCTTCACAAAGTTTGCTCCGCCTGTCACGCGGACGGTCGTCCGCTTTCCGAACTTCTTTCTAATAAGCGACCGGGAACATTCCCCGAGAAATCGACTGTAAAGTGAGAGCTGCTGGGAATCTCTTTCCAACGCCCTGTCGCCAGCCGATACCACATAGAAGGCGAGACGCTTTTCTTTCACCAAATTTATTTTTTGTTTCTTTTAATATATTTTCAAGTTTAATTCTTAATGTCAGCGTTTAAACATCATGATTTATAGAAGACAAGGCTTAAATATTTCTCTCCCAAATGCCATCACTCTCGGATCCACTTCAACCTGCCGTTCCCATCCAACCAATTACTGAGACGAGCCGAACCTCACTCACCCCTCGCCCTGTCTCGAGCCGTTCGGAGTCGCCTGAGAATCACTTCTGGAGAATCGAATTGCTTGATGTAGTAGCGCTCTGCGAACAGCTCGTACTGGGAGGTGCTCTTGATCTCCTGGTCGATGCTCTTCAGGGTCAGCATGTCCTGAAGGCTGCTCTCGTCCGCAATGATGGCCACGTGGTGCCAGTCGAACTCCCGCAAAACGGAGACCAAAAACGAGCTAATACGGTCCAACGAGAAGCTGAGTCGTGTGAGCGTCGAGTAGATGTTCTTCCTATTGAAGCTGTCGTCGAGGCCGCCCGCTGTGTAGGCCGCCACGTTCCAGAAGGCCGCCATGCGGCCCACGTGGTCCAGGGCGGCGCTGCAGCCGGGGCCCACAAAGGCGGTCGCGCCCTGCTGGTAGTACACTTCGGCTGCCAGGGCACCTGCGCGGTGCTCCAAGCATGTTCTGCGGTGATTTTGGAGAGAAGGGTTAAAGCCCCTTCACACACTTGCGTTTGCTTAGGACTACAGTGCAGAGATGGCAGTAATGACATTACTGTAATGAAATTACAGTAATTAAGTTACTTTTTGTTGTAATGAGTAATGTAATTAATTACTCCTCTAGGCTGGTATTCAGTAATGTAATGAATTACTTTCAGGCAGTGATTTCGACAAAAATTGCTCATTAGTTTTGAAATTACTTTAGTCCCAAATTAGAAAGTTAAAAATTTAGAAAAAAAAGAAAAAAAATTAATTTGCATGCTGAAATATTGTGAGACAGAGAAAATAAGCAACGGCCACCTGAATTGCAAAGCCTCGTACGAAGAACTAAACAGACGCACAAAAGCGGGCTGGAAAGGCAAAATAGAAAGCTTACATGTGGACATCGCTGGAAGGCCACGGCTTAGGAACTCCAGGCAAGACATACTCACGGCGTCACGTTATCATGACGATACTGTTCTTCGTTCTTCCCTAAGCTGACAGTACGGTGGAAGCAGCGAGCTAACCAGAACCAATGAAACACCCCCCTTTCGTCATCTGACCCGTCCCTTCCTCTGCGCGTGGGTATGAACGAGAGCAAGGTTACGTGGCGAAAGATAAACGTGTTCCAACGAGCACGCAGCTTCCACCGTACTGTCAGCTTAAGGATGAACGGCTTATAGGCTAGAAGGTGAGGGGCACATTACCCAGTGAGGTCAACACATTTTCAAACCTGAGAGGACAGTACAAGCAGATCCCCTGCTTTCTTGTTCTCTCGTCAGGCAAGGTCAAACCGCAAGCTTCAACCATTATGAACAACGAGCGACCGGAATTAATAGTTAATTAAAAATGTCTTATCAGGATCCCAAAACGTTTCGTGCGTCTTCGAGCAAAGCAGGTGCCGCTCGTGCTATGCCTCGCTGCCATCCCTTGGGAAGTGTTTTCGGGAATAAGCCTACAAGCTAATATCGCCACCCGTTTCTTGGGAGAGTACACAATTTAGGAATCTCACGTCATTACTTTCCTCAACTAGCGAAACTTCTGCTTAGCACTTAAGTTCCTTTGTGTGACGATGCGCAAAGAATTGGGTTCTTCGGGTGTTTGGGAACAGTACTTTTTGAGAGGAATGACCGAAAATACGTCAACTAGTGCGCTTGGGACGATAGGATTATACTGCGTCCGAGGCGGAAGGAAAACGTTTGATGTGACGACTGCTTGCAAGAACAAGCTACCATGTCTCCACTTAACAGACTGACACGGATTATAACTTCGTCTAAATAAAAAAAAAACGGAAATATGTCACCCTTTTAGTAAAGACCTTCACCTTTGAATGAACAGCGAAACCGGTGAGTCGGCTGTCTTTCAGTGACATCTAAAAAAGGTATTCGCCATATTTAACTCTTATGTCATGTGCGCCAGCAAAACGACTGCTCAGTATGGTTCACTTTGAGGCGCATAAGGCTGTTGCGGTGTAAACAGGAAGGTCTAAGTTTTGGTACATATAGGGCAAATGAGATGAGCACGAATTACTGCCTCAAGGTACTTAAAAGTAATGTCAAAGTAATTTCATTACTTTTGGAAAGTAATTGTTATGTAATGTCATTACCTTTAGTCTGCGGTAATTTGTAATGTAATTTAATTACATTTTGTAGTTTTCAGAAAAGTAATTAGCAATGTAATTCATTGACTTTTAAAAAGTAATGTTGACATCTCTGCTTCAGTGGTCGGTGGTACTTTAGGCTCACGCAGCCGCCTCGACTGCTTTGCGCTGCGTTGCGTCGTGCAGCACAGCGACTCCTTATTGGCTCGTCCTAAATGTCGCCATAGCAACAACTCGACGCAAGCAGGCTCAACGCAGTCAAACGCAACCGTATGAATGAGTCTTTAGAAACGAGTTTTTGTGATCTCTGACGAGGAGAGAACAGAGTGGCACGCTCCTGGAACTGCATTTAACTAGAGTGAAGGCTTTGCTCTATTTGCGAGATCAAATGTACACAGTATTTTCTTTTTTTTTTAAAAAGTGGTTGTTTATAACATTGATAAAGGTTTTGCAAAAAGAAACCAAATGATGCGCAAAAAAAAAAAAAAAAAAGACGCAAGCAGATATACGAAAACTGCAAGTGTTCCAGGGCTACCCGATAGATGCCACCATTGTGTTCTCTTGTCCAGAGCCGTATATGTAGAGAGTTGTGTCATTCGTTGGGAAGTATAGGAGACAAATGAGGAGGCGCCATTGGCCGAAAGCGGGCTGGGCGTGTTCCAGGGCGTCTTCGGAAATTCAAATGTGACCAACCAGAAGCCGGAAATAATACCCTGGTGGTGGTCGCAAGAAACAAACCTGATAATTGCATCAGAGTAACTCTCGATGACTGAAAATATGGTATACGTGCTGTTTCAAACACGCTCATTCAAAATGATGGTGGAAGAGTGCGACTAGCGGAACGATCGACATAATCCGTACGCCAAGCGCCGAGAGTCTGCCGTCCGAGCGGTCACACTCTATCCGAGCAAAACAGAGTTGAGCGGCGCATTCGTTTCTTACATCTTTCTGCATGATCATGATCTAAACAACACGTGCACCCTATTTTCAACCACAAAGAGTTACTAGCTGTCGCGCTGTTTTGTCGTTTTTTTTCATTAAATAAATGACGATGCTCAATTTTAATTTGCGATAGCTAAGGACACTTAGATGACATAGATTCATAGAGTTATTATAATGTACTCTAGAGGTTCAAACGGCCTAGTGAGCTGTGGCGATTTGAAGCAGCCAGCAACCAGTCGAAAATTGACTTCCTGCAATGCATTTCTATGAGAAAAAGTGAGTGCATTTTCGCCCTGCGCTCCATTATAAGAGCAAATATTGCGAATAATTTGTACGTACAAGGTAGCTTTGAACATATTTCTCAGTCAGGCAGATGAAATAATTGGTTAGTTACAAACGGCTTCGCAAATGTATTTATGTGCACTGTCGGACACTGTTCGCATGAACAAAACGTTGGCGCTTTTCAGCATGGGAGATATACGTGCCCAACGAAAGAGGGAGGTCTAGAAAGCCGAGATAGCAGGCAAAAACTACACAGTAACACTGGACAACTAACTCCCTGTGCATGCACGATCAGCATAAATGAAAGGTCATGTATACAATCCGATTTTTAATAAGTACTGCTGTATTTTTTTACTCTGAGCGAAGACGTTGCTTATACGTTCAAAACATCGCCCGCACGCTCGAAATATTTGAGAACAAGTGCGCGATAAAAGCTGCCCGGCATAGAAAATAAAAAAAAAATAAACATCTTTCATAGGCAACGTACTTTATCCTTTACGTTTTGAATGATTTTAACTGCTCGTAAAGATGGAAGACGAGGTCATTTTCATATAGTTACGGGACTGGTTTATTAGCAATATATAAGCACCACCGGAATGCTGGCGAACCTTGAACACGCTCTAAATGCCTTTCGATTGTCATTTTGTTTAGAGTCCTCATTTGTTTTTACAGACCTGCTGTGGAACACAGATTTGGTCCTGAAATGAAGCGAAGTAAAACATCGTTCATGGACAGCCAAAATTATTTGGGTGCGCAAGACTTCAAGATATGAACACATCTATAATTTATAAAAATTATTTTACGAGAATAAAGCAGCATCACAAAAATAGATTTTTTTATGATCTCCCTTCTCTCCCTTCTCTTCACCTAGCATTATCGCCGTAATTATCTCCGTATTTTATGGTGCTCCTGCCGAAATTACCCCCCACCCACACCGTATCAAATGGCTCGTGATTGTTCACAAATATAGGGAATATGACAATAGAAGTAAAATAGAAGTCAAAGTTGAAACCCCTGAAGATGTAGATTATAATCAATATGCTTTAATAGAGTATGACCCTCTCGAATATGGTTACTTGTTCCTCTATAACTAATTATATTTTTCTCGGAAGTGTTCACATTCACATACGTATATCGGTGAGCAGATGACTATCTTCACCTGAACCATTGAACGACCCACCGTATTCCTATGACATGGTGTGGACCTGATTTGAAACTCCTTGTATTAGCGCATTGCAAAAAACCAAAACCATTAAATTTTTATTATTTTCACTAAATTTAGACTGCAACCATTGCGAGGGTTTAATGTCTACTCAGTGCCTTTGTAGTAGAGCTTAGCAATGATTTAATTTGCACTTATTTTTCTCGAAGCTTCTTTATCCACTCACGGCAAGCATTTCTCTTCGTCCCACCTTGCCACCAAGCGTAATCAAAGTGAAGCTCTGTTTAGAGACTTCGTTGTTCTGTTCGTTTTTTTATTGTTCCTACGGCTCAGGGTTACCAAGGATGTCATCCACCAGCTCACCTGCGTTTTTTTTATCCTTTTTTTGGTAATCAAAGTGTTTATCTTTAAGTCACTAGCGGAAAATCACAGTAAAATAGGACAACGAAGAATCCAATTAGATTTAATACTTAAGCTGGTAATTACGTTTTCCAAAGTGACAGTGCCACACCTACAAACAACCTTCCCATCGGTTTTGCTTTTTCTTTTTCAAATTGTGTCATTGTCGTCCGCTGGGGCTTTAGGATGTTTCCCCCAAAGAAGCGCACTCAATTAAACTTGATTTACGCTTTCCTTTGATTGATACATAAGACTGGTGGTAGAGCAAATAATGGCTAGAAATGTTTAAACAAAATTTAGGTGGCTCACGCTTTGCATTTTGCTCGGCTCTATGTTTCTCAAAATGTTGAATAGGTGATGTCGTGTACTGCTGTGTTTCCAGCTTATCATAGCAATACTTCTTTTTGAGTGAGGCTTCGGCCCTGCTTGCCTATCGCTGCCGGTAAAAGTGATTCCCGAGTTTTTTACGTCTTGCTCTTTTAGATTACATGAATTTTTTTTTTTGTAAGCCAACTGTGCTCATCTAAGGCCCACAAGCATAATTCCTTTTTTACGGAATCACTACAAACGTCTGATCTTGCGCGTCACGCAAAATTGTTTTATTAAGTAAAACTTAAAAGGCGTTTCTACAAAAAAAAAAAAAAGAACGCTCTTTTGGGAGTGGGAATTTCGATAGGGTCGTATTTACG